AGCTTTGCCCTTCTTGGGGCCCCAATAACAAATAAATAGTGCTTTGTTTTTATGAAATGGTTTGGTTCTATTTATATAGTAAAGGAGGGCCCTCCTAACATCCAGGGTATGCAGGGCCTTTTCCGCTTCCAAGCTCAGAGCAGGGGAAAATACTGGTAGGACAATGTCCTGTGCTAGGTGGATGTTGGAGACTAACTTAGACAGGAAGTATAAACTTGGGTTTACTACAACACACTCACTAAACACTTTGAGAAAAGGTGGATCAACCCTCAGAGCTGTCAGTTCACTGTCTCTTCTGGCTGATGTAATGGCCACTAAGAATGCTACTTTCCTTGAAAGCAAAGCTAAGGAGCAGGAAGCTAGAGACTCGAAGGGTGGTTTCATCAGTCTGGATCATACTAAAGACAACAACCACTGAGGGATAATATGGGGTGCAGGGGAAAAACATTGGTCAGCTCCTTTAAAAAACACTGAGACAACTTATGGACAAAAACAGTACTTCCCCGTATCTCCTCAAGGAAAGCAGCAATGCCCACTAGGTGGGTCTTTACTGAAGACATCACTAAACCAGTATGAGCTAATGACAACAGGTATTCCAACGCCAATGTTAATGGGCAGGTAAACAGGCATTCACCCCAGCAGACGCCCAGGATTCAAAATGACCCTGTTCTCTGTCATAATATCATGTTGAGGGTTTACGGGTCTGAAGCAAGATATCTCTTACTCCTTGGGTAAAAGGAGAGCTCTAATGCTAAATCCTCTATGCCATCAAGTGCAGCTGTGCTGTATTGTGGTGCAGCAACAGACTGTGCGTCAGTAGGTCTGGAGTGGGAGGGAACGGTATGCAATTCGTGCCCGCTAAGCGGAACAGCTCTGAGAACCAGATCTGGTGGGGCCAGAAGAGAGCTATTAGGGTGCCATCTATTCACTCAGCCACCATCTTCTGTATAACCTTGCTTAGGAGAGGGAAGTGTGTGTGCCTGACCAAGGGATCTGGAATGCATCCCCCAGGGAAGTTGGGTTGCTGCCCGCCAGGGAGCAGGACTTGGTGCTTTCCTGGACTCAGCCGTGGCAAGCAGGTCCACCTGAGGATATCCCCATGTGTTGAAAATCGCCTTGATGTATCTGTACTGGATAGACCATTCATAGTTGGTCTGACAGACCCTGCTCAGCCCTCAAACTTCCGTATTTGAAGTCCCTGCTATGTGGATGGCCCTGGGAAGGCTCCAATGCTCACAGTGATTTCCCATGCCATTACTGCATCTGGGCAAAGCCTCCAGAACCCCATGCCTCCTTGTTTGTTGAAATTACTGTTGTGGTGTTGTCTGTTTGGATCAACACCCTCTTGCCCCTGAGAATATCAGAAAAGGAGATAAGGGCAAATCTCACCACACAAAATTCCAAGAGATTAATATGGGGTAGCATGTAGAAAGGACTAGCAAAGCTGTGCTGCCTTTGAGAGAAGCACAAATTTCCAAGAGATTAATATGGGGTAGCATGTAGAAAGGACTAGCAAAGCTGTGCTGCCTTTGAGAGAAGCACTGCATTGTCTCTAGGTCAGAGCAGAGGAAAACACACTCAGTGATCTGGCTGTCTGGTGTTTATTCTTCATAGTGGAGAGGAACTTGTCTGTGGACTGCAAAAACAGAGTTCATCCCTCAAAGAAGAGATACTCAACTTTACATCGAGTCTCCAGAGGGAGAGCAGTGTAGCCACAAGTACCTCCTGAGGATTATGGCAGAGGCCATCGATCTGGCTGCTATCTCTACAGCATGCCCGCCCACATTAATCTCTTGCTTTGAGAGTTTTATAGCCTTGGACTGGATCAGTTTAGATAAGGACCTGAATTCATTGAGCAATCTCTCCAGGTACTTGGAAAGACTCTCCCCAGAGGAGAAGTTGGTAGCCTCCCATAATCACCTGATAATTCGCTACTCAAAAATTGAGAGCAGAGGAAGCATAAAACTTTCTTCCCAAAGCATCCAGACAGCGGCTTTCCCTGTCAGCTGGGGATGAATGCTGGCCAGGTCGTTGATATGCCTGCACTTCTTTTGTAATTAAGGAAGACAGTGGTGGATGTGTCAACAGAAACTTGCAGGAGTCTTGATTTACTGTATATAAGCTTTCGATCTTACATGGAGTGGCCTGAATTGAAGCTTTTTTTGCCAGATTGGGACTGTGAGGTTAGAGAGACCCCCCCCCCCAGGACAGGGAAAGCAACTAACCCTGGAGTATCAGAGTATAGATGACTCAGTATTCTGTCTTTCAGATGACTGTCCAAAGTGGAAATGTCTTCCTTAGCATTTGCTCTCTGTGATGGGTGATAGATCCAAAGCACTCTTGGAACTATAATGAGATGCCGCAGAAACCTCATCTTCAAGCTCCTGGTATAGAGACTGGAATGGAACCAGTGTGGAGTGGGTATCCATGTATCGCATTTGGATCATGCCCCTAGAAAATTTGAGGGTGATGTCCCACCCATCTATTTAAATAGGATGGTGACATATAATAAGAATGCTGAGGGGGAACTGCAGGTTGCCAAGATAAGTAAGGTCCCAATGCTGAGGGTACCAGTTGTCCTGCAGGGATGCTAGGTTGGTTCTCATTTACGTCCAAAAAGGACTGGCCAAGGAGGTAAGGTGTGACAATGGGGTATGTGGGGGAATTAGAATGATGTCCTGTTCAGTCTCTGGACCCACAGAAGATCTGACGCATCCTGACTTGGGCGCAGCCTTGATCTTGTCCTTATGCTTAATTTTTTTATTCCAAAGACAATAGGGAACCCATAGTGTAGAAATATAGCCACAAACAATATCCACCAAGGGAATTCACAACTATGTTCAAAACGATATATTATATTCATTGAAATACAAAGAATGGTTAGTGGTCACAACCCAATAGAGTATATAAACATAGATCCAACAATTTGCTCATAACAATTAAACATAGTTTAAACAAGAAACATATTCAAGACCAACAGTAGGCTTTTCTGTGATTCCATACATAAGTAGTGTCCATAGACCTCCAAACAGAAAGTAACTGTAACAGAAGACTCCCACTGTGGAAAGAAAAACAGCCGAACACCTCTCCCGGGTATAAATCAAGCATTTCAGTGATCTTCAACAGTGGCTGGTAAGACGGAACTCGATTTCCAAAATAACATAGGCACAGCTCAAAAGCTTCAATGGAATTCTAGGGCTCATCTTCACCAGAGGTTCCAACTGTGACCATACCTTAGTTGATGGTCCCAGAGAAGGCAAACATGGGTGCCTAGATTCTGCCTCCGAAGCAGCTCTTTTTGGAGGGAAAGCTTCCTATTCTCATGGTGGCAAAAAAGAAACTGAGGGAAGGGGGTGCCTGCCCTCAAAACATGCGGTGCATTGGGTGGGAATCCCATGCATGTGCTTGGCTCTGAAAGGGTTGGGGCACCCCCTCTTTGGAATTTTTAGCTAAAAAGAAATTGTTTGCGGTTGGCCTGCACAGGCACAGTCTCAATAAGGGGCTGCACAAGAAAATGGAAGATGAATGGGAGTAATAGTAAGCAAGGGAGAAATGTGAGACCTCTCCTGGAAACTGTTTTGTTTGTGCTGACATTCTGGAAATGCTCGTAAATTTGGCAGTTTGGCAACCTACTACCATCTCCACCTGAATTTCTTAGACATCCCACAACCAGGGCTCAACTGGGTATGCCATAAAAAGACAGTACTAATAAACTTGTCTGAAATTATTTTCCGTAACATTTGTGTTTGCTTTATGCGTCCAAAAACTCTTTGTTATTGGTCTCTATGAACTGTGACATGCCTGCAAATTCTTGAAGAAATGTAATGCAGCTGTACAGCTGCCTTCTTTGTCTCTCTTCTCCCATCCTGTCATTCTTTTTCTGCCAGCACAGGAAGCTTTATAAAAAGAATGAAACAATGTTCCTGCATTCTTGTCCAACTTTTTTTCCAAACGTCCAAATTCCATTGTTTCCCAGTTCTCCAAATGTAAAGCTAGAACTGGAAGCTAACGGCAAGTTAGGTGAGACTGGAACCAGCCACATGAAGTTCAAACAAAGAAACTTAGCACAAGTTCCCAGATGCTCTACAAACAGGAACCTTTTGATGTTGTCAGCCCTATCTCCTTTTAACAACAACAAGGTTTTATCAAAATATTTGAGATAGCCACAACTTTTGTGTGGGAGGTAACATTCGCTCACTTCTAGTGCTCATTTTCCAGCGTAAAGAAGCGCCTTGTCACTTCCAAGAGTTATACACATACAGTGGCAGTAGAAAGTGTCATGAAGTCACAGCCGACTTATGGCCATCCTGTAAGGTTTTCAAGGCAAAAAATGAACAGAAGTATGTTTGCCATCTGTATAGTAGTCCTGGACTTCCTGGCAGTCTCCCATCCAAGTACTAACCAGGGCTGATCCTGCTCAGTTTGTCGGGCTACCCTGGGCTACCCTGACATACCATTGGAAAACAGTTCCTGGAGAAGGACATTACAATTGCTATACTTCAACGGTTTATCCTGAAACTGGTCAGTAAAAGTATTCCTAACTATACCATCACTCTTTTCCTGAACGCCTGCACTTCAATCAACTATATGATAGGCAAAAAATTAAAATTGTGCAGCTATCACCATCCATCTGAGAAAAGGTTTGTATAGAGGAGTCGCAACCCCATTCTCCTATCCATCTCATGGCATCACTCTCAGTAGGTTTGAATTAGGATTGTAACAGAAAAGCAAGTTATGAAAGAGGTTTACTGTGAAATGCATATTTAAAGCAAAGTCCCAATTTATTCAACCGAGTGTACTTCCACGTAATAATCCCAAATGAGCAGCAACAGTGCTGCAAAAAATAAACAGGAGTTCCGGTGGCACCTTAAAGGACTAACAATATTTTGTTCCATCATAAGCTTCCGTGGACTACCTGCGCCGAAGTTCAGAAAGTGCTCAGATCTACAGTTCTGCATAAACTTTCACGAACTAAAACCCAGCTACTTCACATGCTCCCATGGAAGCATGCACAAGACTGCAGCCTCACTAACTTCGACACATGTCTTTAAGGGGGGGGGGGCGGGGGGAATGTCGGGGAAGCACGGGTTTCAGTACCGGGTTTCAGTACCTCAGTCCGGCGATACAGAGTGGCCTCCCCGAAGGCCCCCCGACCCAGAATGCGGATGGGAACATAATGCAACTCCTCCTGTTCGCCGCCCAAGACTGGAGGCGCAGGCCGGGGGCCGCTTCTGCTGGACGAGTCATTCCCGAAGTCGGAGTTGATGGAGTCGCAGTGCCTCTCGTACTCGCCCAAGGACATGACTGCTCCTGCGCCGCCTGCTTGGGACGGGTGAAGAGGGGCAGAGGCAACCCTGTTGGGGATCCAGGGGACACGAGGCGCCTCGATGGGCTGAGAACTGCGAACAGCTTCCTCCAGCGGCTGTCGCCAGAAATTCTGTGCGCATGCGCGCCCCCCCCCCTTCTCCCGGCCTCAAACCAAGCAGGAAAAGGGTCCTCCGGACTACCCCTTCACCGGCCTCCCTGAGGCCCCTCAAACCCCCAGCGCTCCATGTTGGCGGCTTCATCCGCCGACCCGGAACCACTTCGTAGCCGCCGCCGCCACCGCCGCCATTACGTCCGCGCTCCCGCCAGCCCCGCGGACATCCGCGCGGGCTAATTGCATGCGGGAAGGTGGGGGGAGGGGGAGGTCGCTTGTTGGCTGGTTTAAGAAGGGTTGGTGGGGAAAGTTGGGCAGCGGACTAGGTAGGATTCCCTATCGAATTGCCCTTACTGCCTCGTAGCAAAGGCCCCCCCCCCTCGCAGAGCCCTGTGAGACGGTCGCCACTGTTTTTGTAACGGATACAGGGTTGGTGCTAGGGATAATGACTCACAGTGGAAAGAGGCTGCAGGTAGCCGGCTGTATTGGCTCTCTTTTTTTGCCATCAAGCTGCAGCTGGTTTATGGCAACCCCGCAGAGTTTTGAAGGCAAGAGACCATCATAGGTGGTTTGCCATTGCCTGCCTCTGGTAGCAACCCTGGACTTCCTTGGTGTTGTCTCCCATCCAAGAACTAACCAGGGCCGACCGCTACTTAGTTTCCGAGATGTGAGGAGATCCAGGTCTTGGTTCATAGCAAAATCTAAACGCAAAAGCCACATAATATCTTTTATTAATCCTAAGGTAAATCACACACAAAAAACTGTATGTAAGCTTTTGAGTTGCCCGGAACCCTCATAGAAAAAGATGCCTCTGCCCACAATAAGGCTTTGTCTTGTGAGAATCCTCTATACCATGCTGACCAAGTGCAGATTTAACATGGTGCTGGGGTCCGGTTTCTCTGTGGTATCCTGAACACAGTCATGTCCTTCTAAGCTGAGTGATTTAAATGACTTCAAGCAGTGTAACTCTCCTTTGGATAATTCCAGACACCTAGCCATGCTAGTGTGTGGCAAATCCAAAGAAAGAATCACGGTATTAACAGTATTGGCAAAAACAGACTGTGAAATAGAATCAATTAAATGAAAAATAAAATTAATAAATATATAATATTATTTACTAATGTGGATATTATATAGAAAATGACATGAAGACACTTCTACTACCCAGAGAAGCAACTACCTGAAATCACTAATACCAAAAGGCAAACATGAAGATTAATATAGCAGCATTTCCACTACCTCTTTAACCTTTCTTCATAAGGAAGGTGTTCCATCCCCTTAATCATTTTAGTTATCTTTTTCTGCAGCTTTTCCAATGCTATAATATCTTAAATGTTTGTGCACACACATCCGTGTGTTTGTGTGCTTGCCTGGAAGTCATGGTGACTTCTGGCAACCCCTACTGAGGGCTTGGATGTTTTTCAGAGAGGTGGTTTGAGGAGGCTGCCTCTGTATCCCACCTCTGGTATTCCTTGTATTCCAAATACTTACCAGAGTCGGCCCTGCTTAGCTTGTCTGGGCTATCCAGGTCAGGTGCAGTGACCAGAACTATATAATATTCCAAATGAGGCTGCACCATAGATTTATACAGAGGCATTATGATACTGCCTGATTTGTTTTTAATCCCTAATAATCCCCACCATAACATTTGCCTTTTTAATTGCAGTTGCACACTGAGTTGACATCTTCAGTGAGTTATTTACTATGACTCCAAGATCTCTCTCCTGGTCAATCTCCGCCAGTTTGGACCTCACTGATGTATATTTATAGTTAGGATTTTTTGCTCCAACATGCATTACTTTGCACTTGCCCACATTGAACCTCACTTGCCACACTGATGCCCACTCACCCAGCCTCAACAGATCCCTCTGGAGTGCCTCAAACTTACTCCTAACTCCAAATCACCTGAACAAATTAATGTTATCTGCAAACTTAGCCACTTCACTGCTTACTCCTAACTCCAAATCATTAATGAACAAGTTAAAAGCACGAGACCTAGAACCAAGCCCTGCAGTACCCCACTGCTTACCACCCTCCATTGTGAAAACTGCCCGTTTAGACTCACTTGCTGTTTCCTGTTCATTAACCAGTTTTTAATCCACAAGACAACTTGTCCTCCTATCCCATGACTGCTGAGTTTATTTAGGAGCCTTTGATGAGGAACTTCGTCAAAAGCTTTCTGGAAGTCTTGGTAAACAATGTCTACTGGGTCACCCTTGTCTACATATTCCATCATTCCCTCGAAGACCTCTAAAATTAGTGAGATAAGATGTTCCCTTACAGAATCCATGCTGATTCTTCCTCAATAGCTTTTTTTCATCAATGTGCCTACTAATTCTGTCTTTAAGAATGGATTCAACCGATTTACCTTGTGTCGACTTTAGACTGACTGGCCTGTAATTTCCTGGATCTCCTCTGGAACCACTTTTAAATTTATTTATTTATTTATTTATTCAAACTTGTACCCCGCCCTCCCCGCAGGCAGGCTCATATGTGGGTTACATTACCTACCTTTCAGTCCTCGGGAATGGAGGCATATTTTAGTGATAGATTGGATTACTTTGTCAGGAGATCCACAAGTTCACATTTATTTATTTTTAAACTCCTGGATGTATGCTATCTGGGCCTGGTGATTACTCAGATTTAATTTGTCCATCAGTCGTAGGACCACCTCTCTTGTCACCTCAATCTGACTCAGGTCTTTTGACACCTCTCCTGAAATCAGCCGTTCTGGGGCAAGTAACTACCATCTTCCACAGTGCAGACAGAGGCAAAAAAATGCATTCAGCTTCTCTGCCATTTCCTTATCATTCTTTATTAAGCCTTTCATCCCTTGGTCATCCAAGGGCTCCACTACCTCCCTGGCTGGTTTTCTGCTTCTAACGTATTTGAAGAATTTTTTAGTATTTGTCTTTATGTTTTTTGCAATATGCTCCTCATAGTCCCTGTTGGTCTGTCTGATCATCAGCTTGCATTTTATTTAACAAAGCCTGTGCTCCCTTATTTACCTCATTCAGACTAGCCTTCTACTGCTTAAAGTAATCTTTGGCTGCGGTCACACGGGCAGGAAACTGCGGGGAGGAACCGTGGCAACATACCTCGCGGCAGCGGGATCAGACGTCCCGGTGAGGTTCCGGCGAGGTCCCGTGGATTAGGTGGAGGTGCCGATCACACGATGGGAAGGGGACGGAAGGAGCCACCCCCTCTGGGAGGGCCGTGCACAGCCCACTCTGGGCAGGGTCCATGGGCCGCTCACAAGGAGGGAAGGGGGGGAGTAACACGCCAGGTCCCCCCTCCCCACCAGCATCCCGCTTGCCCTCCCTTCCTCCCCCCGGGACACGTGGCCCTCTCTGCCTGGCCGCTGCCGCACACCCCCATTGCAGCCCCCCGTGGCCCTCCCTCGACCCTGACGATGCCGGGCGCCTTTGTGCACATGCGCTGTTGAGCGCTTCGGGGGCATGGGGGGGACCAGCAGGGACGCGATCAGGCGCCCGCCCTTGCTGCGCAGTTCCCGGAAACTAGTACCTCGGAGGTACTAGTTTTTTACTGCACTTCTTCCGACGGTAGCCACGGATCAGCCACGGGAGCTCTACGCTCCCCAGATGTTGCGGTGAGATCGCGCCTGGAAACTCCGCCTCTCTTCCGTCCCTCTTGCGTGCCTAATGCTCCGTGTGACCGCGACCTTTCTTACCTTTTAATGCTTCCATTTACTTTGTTAACCATGCAGGCCTTTTTATATCTTATGTGTACATTTCCTAACCTGTGGTATACATTTTATCTGAGCTTCCAGTATTGTAGTTTTAAATAGTCCCCAAACTTCCTGAAGGGATTTGACCCTCCTTACCTTTCCTTTCAGTCTCTTCTTCACAAGCCCCCTCATTTGAGAGGAGTTACCCCTTCCAAAGTTAAATGCAGTTGTGTTGGTCTTTTGGGGCAACTCCCTATTTAAATAAATGCTGAACTTAATAGCATTTACTGGAGAAGACACTGATGCTGGGAAAGATTGAAGATAAAAGATGAAGGGGACAGCAAAGGATGAAATGGTTAGGCAGTGTTATTGATGCAACGAACATGAAGCTGAGCAAACTCCGGAGGATGATGGAGGACAGTAGGGCCTGGCATGATGTGGTCCATGGGGTCACGAAGAGTCGGACTTGACAGTGCGACTGAACAACAACAACAAACTTAATAGCATTATGGTCAGTTCCCAACTGGTGCTATCACATTTACATCTCTCACCAGGTCTTGAGCATTACTTAGGACCAAGTCCAGGATTGCCTCCCCCTTGATGTGTACTGTGACCATCTGCTCCATGCCACAGTAATTAAGAGTATCTAGAAACCCAGTCTCTTTCTCCTGACTTGACCCAATCAATGTGTGGGTAGTTAAAATAACCTATTATGATAAAGTTATTTCATCTAGCTGCTTTCCTTAATTCTTTTGCTGGGTTTTTTAATACAGATTTTATTAGTTTCATAGAAAGATACTGACTTTTTGGTCAATAAGCTAGTCTTTTTAAAATTAATTTTCAAACCTGCAACTTGTCCGTAATCTTGAATTATAGTGATAAATTGGTCAATGGATGTTAGGGGCTCTTCTAGGATAAAGACTAAATCGTCCGCAAACGCTTGGAGTTTAAATTCTTCTCCTTTTATTCTTAATCCTTTTATGGTCTCATCTTCTCTTACCCGATCATTAAGGGTTTCCAAGGTGAAAATAAAAAGGGAGAAAGAGGGCATCCTTGCCTTGTCCCTTTCTGTATTTCGATTTTATTAGTAAGATCTCCATTTACTTGTATCTTTGCTGTTTGTTCTTTATATATGGCACTAATCATCGTAAGAAACTTATCTCCACAGTCCCAGGCGTTGAGTTTTTGTAGTAGGAACTCGCAGCTTACATTATCGAAGGCCTTTTCCGTGTCAAGAAAGACAAGAGCCATTTGTTTTTCAGGGTGTATCTCGTAATATTCTAACATATTGATAATTGTTCGGACATTATTCTTAATCTGTCTTCTTGGTAGAAACCCTGCTTGGTCTTGATGGATGATTTGAAACAGTACTCTTTTCAATCTGGAAGCTAGTATGTTTGCAAATATTTTGTAATCAGCATTCAGTAAGTTTCTTGTTTGGGTATCAGTGTAATTAAAGCTTGATTCCATGA